GGTCGAGATACAATGTATCGGCCAGTATTTCTTTTTTAACACATTACCAAATTTAAGGAATCGTTCAAATGTTAATGTTATCAAAGAGTTAAACAAGATTTGTACTGTGCGGGACATTTTATAGTTATTTTATAGTAGAAACAAAAACTTGTCAAACGATCTATCAGCAGATATAAAATTTGATTTTTAACAGTGAACTCTACTGAAAATTATATTGGTATCAATAACAAGTATCCACAACAGAGACATGAAAAAACAAGTCATATTTTAAAAGGCTGCCTATGAAACTTGTAAAAAAAAAAAATAAGCTACACACAATATTAAATGAAAGATGTGTGGTGTGAGCATACCCTCTGAATAGCATATATAGCCTTTCATCAGTTCAATAATTCTTATAATAAGTAATATGTAATGTATTCTTTTATCCTTCATGTACTGGTGCTCTTTGTCATGTCTGTTGCACTTTATTGTATTTATTGGTCAATATTGGGATTGATATGATGGGTCCGTGATCACTGTTTCAAAAGCATTTTATAAGTCACTTTAAAGCCCAGTCTTATTAATTGATCGATGGCTTAAATTTGCTGGTGTATAGTGTTTGAAAGGGGTCCCTTAAGTTACCCCTCATCGCTCCGGCCTGTATGTGGCAAGTATTTGGTGAACTCGTAATGAACACAACTCTGGAAGGGTTGCCTTGACGAAAGGCTGTAAACACAAGCCTTAGCGAAGTGGATTAATCTCCGTACTCCGGGGGCTTCCGTCAAACTCTGCTGCGCCTTAGCCAAGAAATAAACTGTGGAGGTGTTAAGATGACCTTACATCACCTTAGCGTAAAGCGAAGGGTACCCTGGGAGCTCTGTAAACTGTCAGAGCAGGGGCTCCTGGGAAATAAAGTCACATGCCTCCCTGAAGTTTATTGTCTGAGTCTGAGGGAAAGATGACTCTTACAGGTATGGTGCACATAAGGTGATGTTTGCTTTCAGATCCTCTGTCAAGTCAGATGAAAGTCAAAGATTTATCAAGTAATTAAAACACATGAAGCCTGCTTCATGTAATCTATAAAATATCTTTACAAGCTATCAGCTACTGACCCAAATAAACAAATTCTTACCCTCACTGGGACTTATTAGTCAGTCTCAATTGTTTTATACTGAGTTTACACTTAAATGGTGGATATTGTAATGCAATTTGCAGTCATCTTGAGGATTTAGTTAATCTCTCTGCTTGGAGACTGGTACAAGCAGTGCTGTTAGTCATCATAGAGTTGTAATAATAACAATGTAATATTCATAACATAGTTTCCTGTAAATATCATGGCACACATTCTGTTTCTCTCTGGTCTTCGGCCCAGTTTGTTTCTTTTGAACTGTTTGTGTTGAACTGGATGAAGTTTGGTCTCTGATGCTTTCTTCATTGATCGTCTGTCAGAGGAGCTAAATGCTGCTGTGACCTTTCAGTTGTGGTCTGCTGCTCCTTCATACACAAAAGCACTGACATTTTACTGAAGACACTGTTCTGACAGTCGCAGCCATTGATCAGGGAGCAACGTTCATAGATCTGAGCACACATGGGGAAGTTTGAGGATTTTTACTGGTTGTACATTATGTTCTTGTCATGACAAGTAAATTATATTATTTCCTGATTTGTTAGTTGCACCGAATGCATGTTCAGTCTGTTAGGGTTATATAACTCTTAACAATTCTAGATGCCTGCTTTTAGCTTGAATGGTCCATCTTTACGTGTTCTGGAAATGTATTAAAGTCCAGTGCCTGTCTCTCTTTGAATCAATACAGCTGTCAAACAGAGCTTTAGCTCAGCAGTTCATTGTAGAATTTTAAAACGGCTCTTGACAAAACATTTTCAACTCAAGGCCATCTTATTGACTTTCTCTAGAGCTTTTGACCGTTGCACATGGTCTTCATGAGCAGACGAAGTTTGCACAGTATTAATGAAATTTACTCTGGGCACCTCCAGGACTGGGCTCAAAGTGGAGCATGACAGTTCATTCTTGACCTTGGAAACAACACAGTTAACAAAAACAATCTCAATTGAAGGTCCTCTTATGTGCTTGTTCCTTAGCTTTTGACTACAGGTGCTTATAATAATGGAATTAGAACATCTGTAGTTTTGTGAGAACTGAGCAAACTCCATCAGCTGACGACGACCACATGATACAGAAAGTTCCAAAACAAGTGAGTACGACGACCTTGAGTTGAGACTGTTTTGTGAAATGCATACAATGCTCAGCTTTCCTTTCTGTTTTACTGTGACAAAGTACGCACTATTGTATTCTCTCAATCTATTTTAGATTTGTCACGCCAAAAGAGTTACATGTGTATCCACGGTTCTTCCACTGTCTGTGGTGTTGAGGAAGGAAAAAGTCAGAATGTTCCTTTGACTTGTAGTTCAGGGGAACAAGGTAATGTAAGGTTTTGCAGATGAGTTGGGTTCTTGAGGACATAATTACTGGATTTTATTTGGGGAAAAAGCTGAAGAACTGCCCTTGCAATGGATACTTTAGAATGGGACCAGAATAAATTGATAGTATCGACCATGAAGGACTAAACTAGTTAAAAACATTAACAATTCTTGTCTCACTTCCATTTTAGTTAAGTTTATTCAGTTGTCAGTAAACACACCAGCTGGAGCGCTGCTCCCTGCTCCTCTAGCCCAAGTTTAGCAGCTCTCAGCCGGCCAGCAGATTTTCAATCGCCCGGCAGAGCGGCCTGGCCCTCTCCACACAACGCTCTGAAGCCGCGGGGACGTACGGACAATCTCAACGTTGATAGGCTATCGCAACTCTCGTTTGAGTTGAAAATATTCAACTCATGCGAATTCCTTCGCGTCGCCGGCACCGCCCCCTTCGCGCCGCCCGACAGGAAATCGCGGCTCTGTGCGACTTTGCATTGACTTTGTATGTAAACTGACCGCCCCGAACGCTCGCTTCGCTTTTGGTCTGAAAGCACCATAAAGAAACGTCTCCTCATTAGCTTAAAAGGTTACTAGTTTGCTTAACCTCAGCTCCTCCATGGTCACTATAATCCTTTCTTCTGCTAACCAACCAACTCAAAACTGAAATATACTACTAATTTAACCATCGATGTACAGTACGTGAACAGGACAAACCATTTTAGTCTAAGCATGTACCTTATGTTTTTAACCCTGAACAAGTAGGCCTAGGTATCGGGGTGTGATGTCCCACTTCAACACATCCACCATTGTGTCCCTGAGCAAGACACTTTAACCCCTAGTTGCTCCAGAGGCGTGCAACCTCTGACATAAATAGCAATTGTAAGTTGCTTTGGATAAAAGTGTCAGCTAAATAAGTAAAATATAAATGATGAGCCACGATAATTGGGTTCACGAGATTGAGACAAGAAAATTCAATCTATCTAAAAGCGTTAATTTAAGGTGAAGATGTTTGTTTATGTAAAGGGAAACACAAAATTCAGGTGGCAGGTGATAATGCAGTGCAGCTCTCAGGTATTCTGTGTTGCTTTCAGATGGGTTTCTCATGTAGATCAACTTTTTCATGTTATATCATCCCTGCTGAGTCAGCACACACTATTTCTCCTCTCCTCTTTGTGTCTTTGTTTGGGGAAGTAATCTCTTTAAAAGTGCACGTGGCACCTTTTCACCTTAATGATAAATTAATGAATTTTAATTCAGTTATAAACACCTGCACTTTAATAGCTCCTTTTTTCAGCAGCATTTCTGTGTTATATGTTCAAAACATTCTGCACATTCAGAATCTCTCCCTCATCAGTGTTTCTTTGACATGTGGAGAAGTAAATTGTTTTATTACGAGAATAACGTCCTCATTTAATGACATTTCTTAATATTTTTTAAGTCTGCGTGCCCTAAACTCTGCTGTGCATTACGTTATTGCTCTGCTGATAGGATCCCCTTCAGACTGTTTGGATACCGAAAATAAGTGAATCACTTGTGATCAGACAGAAATCTGACCACAAACCCATACACGTTAACTGCAGAAGCTCTGATAAAGTGCAGCTCACAGTCTCAAACAGAGCACGGTTGCGCTTTAGTTTTTAGATGTTTATATTGTTATGCAAAGAAGTTTAAAATCAAGGGCAACTGGACTCTGTTGAAGATACTTGATGACTTTTCGTCTCTCATCCAAGAGACTTCTTCAGTTCTGACCTACTGGTAGGGAAGCTACCTCTGTGGGGTCGTTGTCAAGATGATCAATATTGCTGGTTTGTTTGTGCTCCTGGCTGTTGTAATGACAGTTGTTATGGTTGTTGGAGCCACCCGAGGCCAAGTCTGAAAAATTGATCTGTGGCATGAAAGCGTTTGAAAATTGTCAATTAAGTGAGTCTAACCTGAAGAGAAATCTTGTCACGTTTTAATCTCTCGAAATCTCGTCACAGCCCTACCTACGTAGTGATGCAGCTAGTTAATTCCTATAAATTTAGCATATATTACATAGCAGCCAAAACTTTCTCTTTCCCAGCAGTCAGGAAAAAGGCAGACAGACTTTTCTTGGTCTTGAGAAGCTGCAGCATTTTTTAACTGATGCACTGGAGCCTGCACTGGAGCCTACACCATACAGTTACTGCCAGCTAACCTTTCCCCTGCTCCACTCGCATTCACCGTCACTTTTTGCCGCGCTCTCTCTCTCTCATTTGCTCAACCACATACTCATTACGTACACACAATACGCACGTCCCTATCCCTTAAAGGAGCTACGCTGCTCTTTTAACAGCACCTTTCACCTAGATGTAAGCGCCCTCGCACAGTGTGTGAGTGAAAGTCATTGGTAGCCCATTGATATTGGTTAATGCTTTCCAGCGTCTTCTGTGATGAAAATGAAAGCTTTGAAGAGTTGAAAGCACAATGTTATTGTCTCCAGGTTTCTTACATTCTTTATCTGGTGAACATTTCTCCAGGAGGATTGTCAGACCTGATGGCAGTGGTTTATGCTGTCAGGAGGTCAGTGTAACGCTTGTTAATAGTCGTGTCTTTGTTGTTTGTTGCAGGAGTTTGTGGCTGCTGTGGGCCACTGAGGCCAAGGTACAAACGCCTTGTGGACAACATCTTCCCTGAGGACCCCAAAGTGAGTAACTACAAGCATTACACATCCTCAGTTAAATGAAAGTTATTTGGTCAAAAAGCAATCATGACTTCTAAGACTCGGCTGGTCTCTGGCATGGCCTACATGGGCATGTAACTGCCCTTAGAGTTAAAATCCAGTTTTTGAAATAGAGATGAATAAGGTAGATTAGAGATCAAATAGAAAGGCAATGTGGAAGTTATGTAGCACCTGTAAAGGTCTGAATTGGTACTTGTGGATCTTGGATCTTGTGTAAAATGGGGCAGTGCGATGGATGAAATATGTATAATGTGAAAGGTATCACTTGAAGAACCCACAAAGAACTCAGTTCACCTGAGGTTTACTGTGTTTAGTGTCTTGTTTCTCATCATTTTGATTTTATCACCCTGTTTTGCCTCAGTTTTAGCTCTCTGATCGACCACGTTTCCAGCATTGTAGATGAAATGTTGTTTGCTAACAAATTTGCCATATGTTTTTTAAGATAGTAATAATATGGGCATGTTATCTTCAAAGCATAATTGCAGATTTTGATATTTTTCCTCAAATGTACCTCCAAATAGACCATAAACTGTAGAAAAAAGGTCTAATCCTGTTTCTACATTTGACAGCAAAGGCCAGTCACCCAGCGGGCCTTTAGCAGTGTGTTAACACTGCGTTTGGGGCCCAGTTGTTATCACAGTGTTGAGATTGGTGCGACCCAGTGACACTTCCACCACCAACAAGCTTCTCTGCCACCACACAGAAATAATTGGACAGCCACGGAGCTACATGAAAGTTCCAGACATTTAAAAATCTGGCTATTAGATGTGACATCGGCTTTGATAACAGAACCATGACAAGTTATTAGCGCCCGTTTTGATTGTTAGAACCTCTGTTAATTAAAACGCTAAATGTTCATGGAGTTTGTCCCTTACACAAGAGAGGGATCACTTGCTGAGACCCGGAGGAGCTGAAAACACTCAGGGGACAGCCAGTCTTGACTTCCCTCCCTCCTCTTTACGTAGGACACCTGGCAGCAATATATTTATATTGGCTGTCTGTTGTGAAAGACAGTATGATGCTGAAGTTCACATTGAGTCCTTTTAGAAGTTTCCAAACAGACAGTTCATCTAAAAATAACTTCCTTTTCCAATTCTGAGAAAGAGAAAAATCTTGACCTGTGCACCTTTTGCTAAAGTAAAGACAAATTGTACTTGTGTTATATGCAGTTTCAGTCTCAGATATTTTTAGAGCAGTGCTTTGTGGTGTCAATGCAGAAGAGCCAAACCAAACCTATTCACAGCCCAATCAGAATAATGTTAATGAAGTCAACTTACTGAATGAAGAAAATGACTTTTTCTCTAACTTTTTAAGGTACATTTGCTAAAACTAATGGCATTCTTTACTTCTTTTTGGTACTTGGAATCACTTTATTGTTATAGAGCACGGAGCCTCTACAATGTTACTGTGGATAATTACAAGTTTGAGATGTTTATTTTACATATAAAATTGATGCTGGAGTCTTGATTGGTTTGACTTGATTTATAAATGCTGTTTCATTCATGCCTTGAGTATTTGTGGCAATGTTAGGGCTGGACGATATGGGCAAAAATGTTATCATGATAAAAAGTTTCATGTCTTTCGATATCAATAATTATCACGATATGTATCAAATTGTTAATTCTTTTGAGTTTAAGGGCTGATTTTTGCTCCTGAGTGAAAGTTGAAGAAACCTGATGGTTATTGTGGTTTTAAACTATTTTTTTTATAGCCATCACTTGAGGCCAAACAGTGGATTACTTCACAAATCTGAGGTAGAACATTTAAAACAATTATGATAAAATCTTTGTCAACAAATATGTCAATAATATAATAGTAAAATTAAGTAAAAGCTTTTATCAGTCCTTTTTCCTCAACAAAATAAAAATCTTAATAAAAAATTAGTCCTAATTAGTGTATTATTCAAGTGAATGAAATCCATGGAGCTCTATGGCTCAGAGAAAGAGAGATGTAAGGCAGTGATACACACACACAGTGCTTGTTAGTAGATACATTCATTGTTGTCCTTTTTTTTAAATCCCGTGGATCTGGACTGCATTGTGTTGTTCTTCAGGATGGCCTAAGTAAATCTGACATGGAGAAGCTGACTTTCTACGCCGTCTCGGCTCCAGAGAAGCTGGACAGGATTGGAGCTTATCTAGCCGAGAGGCTGAGCAGAGATGTGGTGCGACACCGCTATGGGTGAGTGACATTTGGCCTTGAGTTTTCCTTTTTTTGCACTTACTGCCCTGAAGATTGAGGCTTCCTGTTTACAGACAGAATCATTTTACTCACACATTTGCCAACACATGGCAAGACATTTATACAGCTTTCACCGTTTTTCATTACAGACTGAAACAATCAGACCAACTGTCAACTTAAACGTCACGAATGAGGATTCGCTCTGCAGTTAAAGCTCTAGCACCTGATTTGCTTTTTTGTTTCTCAGTGTCATTAATCAGTCAATCAGTAATCATATACATACTGCAGAAATCATGCAGCTTACTTGCCGCAGTGATGGCAGTTTTTCTGGTGTCCATAAATCCAGTCAGGGAGCATGTTAAAAGGAATACACAGATGTTTTAGCTGCGTTTTTCTGTCATCCATCTCATGCGTGTTTGACGAAACAGACGATTCTTTGTTAAACAACTGTCCACACAGGATGCGCACCGCAAACTGTTATGCTATGCTTGAAGTCTATTTTCTACTGTTTTATGCCCATAACTGCAGTGATTGTGTGTTGGGCTCTTAGCGTTGTCGAAACATGGTAAATGGCTACATTTATTCAAAGTGCTTTACAAGTTTTTTCCATTCTCTCTCTCTCTCACTCACTCACACTCACACACACACACACACACACACACACACACACACACACACACACACACACACACGCAGGTTGCCATTGGAAGCAATTTGTGGTTTAGTGTGTTGCCCAATAGACATGTGGACAGAGGTGAGGATCAAACCGCCACCCCTGTGATTTGTTGTCAATCCGCTCCACCTCCTCAGCCACAGCCATTCCACATCACAACATGTGTGTCCTACAGTCAGTAGTGTCCCTGAATGCATTCTGTGTAGACACAGACAGAGCACTAAAGGTGCTGCTGCTGCTCTGCTAACGTGCTGCCCATGCTACGCCTCCTGTGCAGACAGTGTCAGTGTCTGGTCAACGTGTTTAGTGTATAGTACCCCTTACTTGCCAATTGATGGCATAATAAGACAGTAGATGCCATGTCTAAGTAAGACATGTAATAATACCACTGGCCTGTAAATAAAGAGAACGGAAACCAAACTATTAATCTATTGTTAACAAGGGTTAAATGATATTTAACAACACAAAGTGACTTTGATTTAACTCATCAGAATGCGTTCTGTGATGTCAAGTCTTGTCCATTTACATTTACTTGAACCATTTAATGCTTTCTGCTTCTGGAAAATGAATTGAGAGACAACAATATCCCTCATGTGTTTCTAAAAGAAGACTGGCAGTACCAAATCAATACAATGATTCTAGAAATGGTGTTTAATTGGCTATGACTTTTATTCCCCAAAGCTGACCGTTGGAGAAAAAGCTCTCGCTCTCACTTTCGCTCTCGCATCTGTAATTGTCCTTGTGTTATGCTCCTCCTCAGACACTCACCATCTAACGAAGTCACTGTGTCACTGTCCGTATGCTTGTGTTTGTTATGTCACTCAGATATAAAAGCTGTCATTTGACTTGGCAAAGCTTTTGCCTCTCAGATGGCGCAAACTGATAAACCTGACTGCTTCTGAATTTCTGCTTCCATTAATTATTATCATTAAATGTACAGTACACAGGAAATGTTAACTTTGTTCACAATAAACAACACAGATAACAACCTACAGGATCATAATTAATATTGTACTTATCCACAGTAACATTGCAGAGGCTCCGTGCTCTATAACAATGAAGTGTTTCCAAGTACCAAAAAGAAATATTTTAACATCTACACCAAATATAACAGTAATAGAATAATCATTGGTAAACTTACCTTGTTGCGGTGAAAATATTACGGGTGCAAGTATCCGTGAAGGTATTGCTCTGTTTGCAGATTTTGGCAAAAGTCAATATTGTGAATCTGATATTATGATGAAAAGACTGTTACATATTCAACAGTTTTCAGATCTGCCTTAAAGGTGGTAAATATTTATTTCAATTTATGCTCCTGTCAGCAGTTAAATATATTATTTTTGAAGGTTGACACATGATGTTGGACTGACACCATTTTATACTCATAGTTGCACTTGTATAACAGATCATTTTTAAAACATACTTATTATTATACGTATTTATTTTTAAGAGTGAATAGCTTGTGAACATTTTTATGTCAGGGGAAAAAACATATCTACAGTAAAACTTGTGTTTATGAAATTCTCAAGTTTGTTAGCAGAAGCAGCCGTGGTGTGGTGAGCCTCTCTAGATAAACAATGGAGTTCATTACATGCAGAGCGCAAATGGCTATCCGGTGGCAGATAGTGAGTAGAGCTAGTCTGTAATTTATAGAAAAGATTCTTAATTTTAGTCATGATCACAGTGTTGGACAGAAGGTACCTAAAGACTTTGTGATTAAGCATGGAACTTCTTAATGATGATCTATTCTCCTACCTGTATGCAGGAATGTGGTGATAGCCATGGAGGCTCTGGACCAGTTGCTGATGGCCTGTCACTCTCAGAGCATCAAACCCTTTGTGGAGAGTTTCCTGCACATGGTGGCCAAGCTGCTGGAGTCCAGAGAACCAGACCTGCAGGTCCTGGGAACCAACTCGGTAAGACCAGATCATCATGATGACGGACTTTTTTTATTGCACAGGAGGTTTTATTGGGGTTTTCTCTTTTATGCAAAGCTTGAAACTAGTTGTTTTGTAAGGGACATTCTGTCTATTCCTCATTATTTTATTTACATGGTTAATTTACAACAGTTGGTGACTGCTAGGTAACAGGCTCCCAATGTGGTGCCATAAGGGTGAAAAGGAAGGAAGGCGAAAAATCAGAAGAAGCTGCAGAAGTTTTTTTTTTTTAATAAAGATGATACTTTCCTGCAGATGGTTTAGCAACACATTAATGATATAATATGTAGATTTATTAACGTTATCAGAATCACCTTATAAACAGAGTACAGGAAACATGGAAAGCTTTAAATGGTGATGGCACAGTGTCAAATTATATGATACATCAATAAATACTATTGCTGGTTGGTTGTTAGTGTACTGGAGTGTAAACAGATTAAAAAGCTTTAAACTTTTCAAGTTGGTAAAACAAGCAGAAGTTTTATTTTTTCCTTCACGTCCAATTATTTGATAAACTACTACTTAAAACTTAATTTATTTTAAGGATTTCTGCAGACATAACTATCACAATATGTACATGCATAGGGAGAATTGGAAATGTGGTGAGGAAAAGTAAATGTTGCTTGGGGAAAATAGACAAGATATAAATAGAAGATTTACATAAATTCAATTGTTATTTATTTAATCAACCAATTATAGGTTAAGGAGAAAAAAACCCCTGCTTGCTTTGTTTCCCCATCGTAAAAAAGTTTCACCCTTTTATAATTGTTTTCACACTTTATTTGAAACATACTTTTGACTTGTCTGATAAACTTTTTCATTTTGTCAGCGTCGGGCTCAGACTTTAGGGTATGCAAAAAGTTAAACTTCTGAAAACCCCCTTACACTGCAGCATCGGTTTAGTTACAAGATGTCAGGGTAAAGAGCTGCTTCACTAAATAAATATGTGTCCGCTGATTGTGATAAAGTCCCTCTGCTCTTATTACCTGAAGGTTGATTTTCCATTTAAGTATAATCATTTCATCTCTTTAATATGCTGAGTGAAACCCTTTTCCATAATTCTGTAGTGCTCCTGCTTTCTATTCAAATTTTTATACATTTTATGTTTTATACTGTTTATACTGTCCTGTGTGATAGTCTACCTTCCTCCAAATGTGAGCACACCATCTGCAGAATAGCCTCTTGTACACAAAGCAGGTGAAAAGTGAAATGATTATTTGTGCTGGTTGTTTATTTCAAATGTTGCCCTGAGAGAGAATCCTCCTATCTGCTGTGGAGATTAAACAACATTTTACTTAAAGCCACAATTCACACATACACGCACACGAACATGCAACAAACGGAACACAAACATCACTCAGCTGCAGCCCAGAGGTTGATGTTGGTGGTTAAATACCTAATTTAACTTTTACTCTGGCAGTGGAAATGGCCTTATACCATATCCTGTGAAAGGCTCTAATTATTATTATCCTTTATTAGCCGCCGGCAAATGTCAGCTCCATTTCTCCTTCCAAGTCTTCTGAAGGTGAACCCAAAGTTTTTATTTTCTTCTTCCCCCTTCTTGCCTCCTATTCTGAGTCTTTTGTCCTTGCCATTATTGGCAGTTCATCTGAGCAGGAAACAGAGCTGAAGGTTTAGATGCGAAAGCCTTTGCATTATTTATGTGTGGTATTTAGACTCTGACAGAGGGGGAGAGCGGATGCAGAGACAGGTAGGTGAGTTGGGAGGCTGGAGGGTGGAGAATATTTTGACAGTGGTACATGCTGCCTTTAGACGAGAGCCGTGTTAATTAAATTTTCCTCATGGCACAGGCTACAAAGCCGAGACTCTCAGTTTAATGTCAGTGTGGTAGAAGAAAACGAAGAACTTGTGTTTGTTCTGTTGGGTAATTATCAGTTTAATGAGTCTGTTTGAGATGTCTGCAGAACCACATCAACACCGAGCTCAACAAATTACAGCAATTTTGTTGAAAGACTGTTTGAAACCGGCCGGCCGCTTTCAGTTGAGCCTCAGCACTGACTAATTGGCTATAAACTTCACACATTTGGGTTTTGAGGATACGCCTCTGCAGAGCTGCTTACAGTGGGCTGAAGAATAGAATCAACTTCACATGTTCTATTATGTACATTACATGCTGTCAAAGGTGAAAGGTCACAGCACCGTAAATGATAATTCCAGCCAATTACGACTTGGGTCTATTTTTGGTAGTTTTGTCCATCAGTTCTGTCAGAAATAATAACTTTGTACTCACCAAGATAACAGCAGTTCTGGGAACATGGTACTATCACTATAAACAAAGTCCTTTTAGGCAAGTCCTGCCACTCGGCAGCCATCTTGGCAACGCCTCCGGGCAGCTATTTCGGACTAACAAGACCAGGCTCCTATCTAAATGAATAGGGAGAGAGCCAGAACTGCACTTTCACAGGTCACCGGGACATAAAAACTACATGAATAGAATCAGTATTAAAATCTGATAATACTTGCTGAAACATTTTGACAACTTTGCCCCAAAATAAGGTATAAAACGCGTTTTTCCCGACCGGTTATACTTCTACTGCGCATTTGCCACCACTTCTGCGCATGCGCAGTACAAGTAATACGGACCCTTACGTCAGTGGAACCACATAATTGGCTGAAATATGATTCCCGCTTTGGCTGTTGAAAGCAAACAATTGGCTTTCTAGCGGAAGGGGCGGGATAACCGCCATCTTTGCCGTTATAGGCTTTCCCCATAGAGTTGTATTGAGGTCTATTGTCTCTGCTATAAAGGAGTCAGACAGCTTGGAAACAAACTGCTTTATTTGGTCAAACCGAAACCTGAAATGTTAGTGGTAATCCCTAGTTACACAGGAAAACTGTGTCAGTACAATTACAGTAAGTACAGAAGGTCAAAGTGTATCTGTGGAGTGGGTCTGAACACTGTGATGGATATTCATACCGACCCTTTGGTTAATCATTTTACAGATTGTCTAACCTGTTGGTCTGATTATCTGACTGCTTGTGTTTCTTGGCTGGTCAAGAGCTATTAAAATATATTTCTCACCAAATTTGGAAGATAAAATGCTAAATGGAAGAAATGAGTGGTGGCTATACTTGTCTTGATCCAAGGAGTAGAGTTTAGTAAAGTATTTTTAAAATGATCTCATGATCTGTTCTTCAGCTTAGAAACACAGAGGTTTGTTGTTGTTGTTTTATGTTATGATCATTGGTTTCAGTTAGTTCTTCTCGGTTCTACTTAAAGGGGCCATGTGTAGTTTCCAGTGGCCTCTAGAGGTGAGCTTTCAGAACTACTACCTTTTCTGAGCATGCTCGAACTAATGAGGGAACACTAATGTTAGTTTATGAAACAAGAAATTCCCTGAGCACAGCAACAACAACCAGGTGCTGGTAGGTAGCAGGTTAAGTCCATGAAAAATCAAACTTTACTACCTTTATTGTGAGCAACACGTTTCGCCCATTGTTTCTTCAGGCTCACATAGTGAAAAAAGAAAAAACAAATACTAATGAGGTAACACTAGTGTTAGTTTACCTGTCCAATTGAAAGCCAACTCTGAATCGGATTTAATACCCAAAACAAAGTGGAAGTCTCTCCGTGATGCAAACGCCTTTCCGGTGTTGACCGTGTGTTTGCCCGACGTCAGTCTGGTTCTCGTTTGGCCTGACGTGCTAGTTTTGTTTTTTTATCCTTACGTGGAGGTTGTACTGGGAGCCGGTTGTTTTTTGGTGTTAGTGGCTGCAGTGTTGTTGCTGTGTGTACGGTTCAGAAACGGTAGGCAAGAGGCTCGGGAGCGTGCATGCAGAAAATCCGACCTGAATCCTTCACATAAGAAGCAGAATAGCGGCTGTTCCAAGGGACAGAGAGAGCGGGGGTGTGGCTAATTTTTATGTCAGGTTACAACATTTACAAATGGGTAGTAAAAAAGTGATTCATTTCATTAAAAACTACATACAGCCCTTTAGTGTTCTTTCTGTCAACTTAGGCTTAATCCCATTTTCCCCCCTTGCCCCTACCCCTCAGTTTTGCACGTTCACGTCTAGAGGTAGATTGTCTCAATTAGGGGTCGACCAGTAATCAGGCTGGCCAATTATCAGCGCCGATATTCAGCATTTTTCAATAATCTACATCGGTCATTTCAAAAAGAGATAGCCGATATAATTAATTAATAAAAAATGTGCTACTTTGGCTCTGATGCAGCCACTTTTCCCAGTCTGTTCTCACCACTCTGTGTGCTGGAGTAATGTCCCGCCCACAGCACTAGCTGATAGTTTACAAGTCACGAGAATAGCCTATCAACACTGACTATTGGCCAGAAGTAGCCAATTGAACGAGCGAGCCACCACGCTGCACCCCCTCCCCTCCCATCTCAGCAGAGCTCCGCGTGCACACACTGAGCTAGTTAGCGTAGATCATACACCAGGTGACCATAACTACGGGCGTTAGTGATGTGCGGATCGATCGAAATAATAATGACTCTGTGTGTGATGTGTGTGCAAAGACAGTGAAATATATTTGCAAATTTGCTAAACATCTGAGATCAAGTAATGACCAGATGAGAGAGAGTGAAATTCGGGGGGGGGTGCCGGGGGCGTGGCCACTGGTAGGCCTACTGTCAATGAACATTACCACACGTGAAAATCTAAACACAACGCTAAAATTATTTATCTTTGTTCATGAAGTCGCCTGTTTGTCATTAGGAAAAACACAACTGTGGATACTGTATGTAACACAACAATGTTTATTTTAGTCATGTCATCAGTGCAGTGTCACATCTGTGCAACACGCGTCAGATCTTTTCGCTGTGCCGTGGCTGCCTGAAGTTACACTTTCCCTGTCCTCGCGACTGTAACTTCCACTAACCACAAGAAAACAAAATGGGGGGGGGAAAGCATGACGAGTGTTACTTTGTAGCAATAACAACGCTGTTGACACAATGTACAGATAACCTGCAAATAATAGGATGATGTTATGAAGCGGCAGT